TACCACATGTTTGAATTCAAAGATGAATCCAAACTAGGCATGAAGTACTGTATATAACACTAAGACATCAACTAGTTAATCCCCCCGCTACTTGGAACCTATCCCATCCAAAATGATCACACAATTAGTTGACATAACTATTATTATATATTAGGCATGTATAGATACTACCTACCTTAGAAATCTCACTAGACTGTTCCAGACATTTTATAATGTAAAGTATATCTGAATGCCTAAATTAAAGCTCCATCTACCCTATGTCTCTAGTCAAGCAGACACATTATTCCCTTAAACCACATACGTGTGTTCATTTGTCACTGAAAAATAGGAAGTCCAATTAATTAGAGCATGAAGGAGGTAAGTAGGAAGTCTTTGATTACCTCAGGGAGTTGCAACACTGTCTTGCCAGCTGTTTCCACCCTGTGGGTTGGTAACAGGAAGGGCATCAAGCCATAAAAACATGCTTCAACGTGCCTGATGGCAACCAAGTCACCATAGCTATGCTCTACTTCTGGTTTCTACTTCATTTTCTGGGCTGGCACCCAGGTTTTGTGGTGGGGAGTGCAGGGGGTGAGGGATGCCATTCTGGTGTAACCTAACAGCTGCCATCGGGTTATCACAGCTATCCCACACAAAAGTGGAAAATAACCATAAACATTGATCAAGATGATGATGAATGGTAAGGATTATACAGTACAGTATATACACTTATATAGGTATCCTTCAATATACAAAGGGATGTGTTCCATTAATAAGTGGGGGAAAGAAAGGCATATTAAATGGCAGAACCAACGTATTATTGGGGAAAACACTGCAGGGGAATGAAATCAATTATATACTGAATGGCACAGCTTGTATATTATTGGAGGTTATGCTCCGGGGAGGGAAAATGCTAGTCAACTGATGGATTTTTTACACTAAGTTCACCAGTACAGTATGCAGTATGTTCTACAAAAATAAAAGTAAAGAATAAATACATTGAAAATAATGAAAATTGGGAAACAGCTTAAATGTGCCTCAATACATCCTGAGAGGGCATTTTGAGGTGTGACTGCTAAAAATTTTTCAAAATGCATTTTTTATTCATTAAATCGAATGTTTGTTTATATAAATAAGAAAAAATATGATCGCTATTTATCAAAGAGAATGTTTGCTTATTTATACATAAAAAAAAAAAAAAAGTGTCAATGTGATACATTAAAATGAATTTTCATTTATCGGACACACATATATTAGAGATACTGTACCTGTAATGAACATTAATTCTTATCGTGGCAATTTGTTGCAGACAGTACTGTAATATATTGGAATGTCGGCCACAAAATTTCATAGTAAATATTTAAAATGAGAAAAAAAAATGTAAGATAGATCCTGAAATACCTGTTTTCTGGCAAGACTCATAACTGGCCTGGTACTTGTAACCTTGGCTACCAACTGGGACAGTGTGTCCTCACACATCACCCAATAAATCAACTTGTGTTAATGTAAGCTAAATGGGTAAACCAATCCCCATCACTCTCAATAACTCCGACAGCTCCAAAATGGGGAGATCAGGTACAACAGCTGTCTTCTAGAGGCAAGTGGTATTTTAGTACAGGTACACAACCTATTTTCCGGCACCCTTGGTCCCAAAGCCTTGCAGGATTATCCGGTTTGCTGGACCAACCGGGGTCAAGTAATAATAATTCAACAATACACCTGTGACCCACTAATTATACACCTGTGTCTCTAAAGCACCATGGACTGCTAGAAACTTAAATTAAACAAATATCAAATGTATATTAAATGTGAAAAAGCCATAATTTTGAGCAATATTACTGTACACTTTGTACTCCATGTACTGTATTACACTAGACTAAAATTTTTATCTCTTGTGTAAACTATGTGCTGTTTATACTCAAATTAATCACTATCTTACAAGGATTCCAGCAATACAATTTATATTCTGTTAAGTCTAGTCAGCTACATTTTATAAGATAAAAACTTTAAGCCTAAAACTACCTTCACCCTGGCTGGGAGGGAAGTTAAGCGCCCCCTCATAATTTTGTCCGGACAAAAGGAGGAGCCGGACCATTAATTCCCGGAAAATCGGTGGTGTACCTGTACTTATGTCTGACCAATTACCATATTTTGCATCAAGAACTAAGGCCCTACCATCTTATTCAGGACCAGACTGTTAACAATGACTAAATTCCTAGACAAGTAAGGCATGAAACCCAAGGAGAAATGTATGTGCATAAGCCACCTGGCTATGGGCTGTCAGAAAGAGAGATTAGGATCATTTCTCCATTTTTTATTTTTTTTTTGCCTAAGCCGTCTGTCAGGTTGATTCTTGTAATCCAAAGGCATATAAGCATGAATGAAATGATGTATAAAAAAAAAAAAAGCTCTAGGGTCAGTCAGACATACTGTACGTCCCCTTAGAGAAGAACCTTTAATTTTATTTACTTTCCATAAAATCAGGAATGTACTTTAGGCCCCCAAACTCTCCATTACTAATCATGGTGATAATGCCCCCTCAAAGGATTAAATTCATAACTATAATTTTTTGTACTTCTTTCAAAGTTCATCACTGGCTCTTGTACAGTATTACAGTACGGTCGGGATATGTAGTGACTTTATTTTACGATTTTTTATATCGCGGCTACCAAAATTATCGCCATATTCCTTTTTTAGTGATCTTTTTTTTTATTTTGCAAGAGAAATCTTTCAAATTTATCACTACTACCAAAATGTTCAAATATATAGCGATAAATTTATTTACAGTAGACTCACAGCTTACGGTGGGTTATGTTCCTGGGACCTCACATAAAGCCAAACACCATATAGTCAGAAACACTCCTACAAATCCCCTAAATAGTCCCAAGAATATGAGTTGAAATTTTTTTCTCGTGCAAAATATATGATGTCAATATTCAAATTATTCGCTGTCTTGCAAGGATTCCAGCAATGCAATTTATATTCTGCTCACTTTAGACAGCCACTTTATGCCAGGCTTAGTCACATTTATTGGCCTCCAGAACCTAACCTTATTTTCCCCATTGATTACATGTAATTATATATCACGAGTTAGTATATAGCAAACATCCTTGGACCCTATCTCGCGATATATCCCGACCCTACTGTACAATACATGATGACAATATATCGGATTTAAAACCTAAATATCCTGTCAACAAAATGGTTGTACAGTGATATTGCCGTTACCTGAACCAATTGGTGCACAGCACTTCTGGGAATGAGAAATTTCCGGATACGAGACGACTCTCTCAAAGCCGGAAAAAAATCCCTCGCCCCTGGAATTTTCAGGGTACCGGAAAAATGTTCTCGGAATTTCCAGAAAATGGGAATTACATCATCTCTTGAACCCCCCAAAAATGCCCCATTCCTGGGTTTCTCCAGGAAAAAAAAAAAAAAAAAAAAAAAAAAAAACCACGGCTGAGTTTCATCTCTCAAACCCGGAAAAAAACTACCCCATCCCAGGAATTTTCTGTGTACTGGGTAAACTTTCCCAGAATTGTCCAGAAAATGTGCCCCGAGGAAAATAGTTCCCAAAGCCGGAATTTTCTGGAAAATTACGGTTTTGGGAACGATTTTCCAAGAAAATTTAAATTCCAGCTATCAGAGAGTTCTGGTTAAGAGGGATTCTGGCCAATGGAGAGAGTACTGTATTCAAATTAAAAAAAAAATACTCGTTAAACCATCCAAGGCATGACTGACTGACTCAGAGATGTGGATATAGCACATGCATACCAAGCTTTTGGTTCATAAGGCGGCAGCATGGCCAGCACTACACTCAACCACCTTCACTTCCCCAGCTTGTTAAGTCAGGTACCCATTTACAGCTAAAGTGTGTAATTTACCTAAAACATTCATGTCCCGCCATCTTGTATCGGGGTGCTGCGTCAATCTGATGAGTCTATCTCCTTGGCCCCATCTGCCCACTACATCTGCTCTTCGTACCAACAACACTGAGTCTGTGCATAGCTGATCTCCAAGTAGACAATCAGATACACACTCAAGTGGATTAGTTAGGTATATTCCTTGGGGACCAACACCAAAGATCATCTGATGGTGCCAGGCATCCGGGATTGTTTGCCCTGGAGGAACACCCACTTGAAGGTTTAAAGTGGCAAGAGGAACACCACCTAAAAGGTAATAAAAGAGTACAACATGAGTTATATTATAATAAAGTACAATACTGTGTATATACTCTGAAAAAAACTTTGGTTAGTAACTATCTACAGTATAAACATTTTGCCTTTTCCCAGTCTTAAAGTTGGTTCAGCCAATCTAGAAGAATATTATTAAGAGCTATAGCAGTTAGGAAGAATGGATAGGGCGAGAAATGAGATTAGAAAAAGGTATAGCATCACGAGAGGAATGTTTTTAATAACTAAACAAAAGTATGATAATGTAGTTGCGGAAATGTGTTCCTACACCCCGTGGTAACTGTCTCTCCAAACGATAATGTCGCAGTGGTAGTATCATTATTTATGAATGAATGGGTATTGGTCATGTAACGACAGACGTGATTGATGGATAGGTTTGTTATAGGTCATATGAGGTGCTCCGAGTCAGAAGGGGATGAAGCCCCACCCCGGCCAAAATGCGTTTTTTGATGGATATCACTATTTTCACCCTTCCTCTTCATGTTGGAGTTGGATGTAACCCTCTAGCTAGAATAGCAATACGGTAGAAAGTCCTTCAAAAAAAAGGTGTGATTTCGCCTCAGGCCAGGAGCAACATATCTGACTGTGCGCTCAGTTCCAAAAAGTGGCAACATCCTGTTCAGAGAAAGAGGAGCGCGAGCCAATGACAGAATGCCTCCCTCGGACCATACCCCCTGAGGCAGCCAATCGTAATGGATTTCCCCTTGCTACGTCACAGCTCCTCGGCCAAAATGCGCGCCCAGATGCTGCCTCCTCCTTAGTTTTGGCGCATATTTTAGCATCGGGAGGTTAAGTGTACGTTCTACTGCTATTTTTTATAACTTTTCGGCGCAACATTAACGTTATTTGTGTTCCACGGGTGTGAAGTGCTCTGCAATATCTGCCCGATATTAGAGCAAGACTCGAGTGAGGCCAGGCCTTCTGGTGTGGGTTCAGGAGCCTATTATTCCTGAGCGTGTGTTTAACGACAGTGCTCAAGTGGACACCCCAGTAATGCTTGGTGATAGTGATTTTCGTGGAGAATTTAGTGTTGATTACGGTGATACAAGTGCTACTGGCGATGGTGCAGGTGACATGCATGAAAATGTTGGTGATGAGCTACTTGGTGAAGTTAGGGAGCCTAGTGTTGGTGGAGCACCACGTAATGCAGATTGTAGGGGTCAGGAGCGAATCTCAGGCCCAATAGAAAAAAAAGGCAGAATGAGAGAGTGTAGGGTTGATGAGCGGGCACAGGAGGTTGCCAAGCATAAACGGAATTTGGGCGAGGAGTACAGTATATGTCGACGTATAAGACGACCCCAAAAATTTCCATTTAAATCATAGGTTTTGAGCTATACTCGCTGTATAAGACTAACAAAAATGTGACACTTACCACTGGGAGCTTACTACGCCAGTAGTCCTTTACCAGCCATCCCACTGACCAGTGGAGTGATGCTGTAAAACACACTGCTAAGCAACACATCCCTGGTTATTTAAAATAAGGCCAATTCACTTCAAGTAATGGGATTAAACGTTACCAGCTGGTGTAGTGTAAACACTAGTGACGTTACTGAGGCGTCGTCTAGAACTAATGTCGTTGTCGAGTAAAATTTTACCATTTACTTGAAATTGATTTACTGATTTATTTGTTTATTTATTTACTTATAATATACTGTAATATATTAGAAATGTAGGCATAAAATACACTGCAGGTATTTTCTTTAATTTATAAACTTGAGACGATCGGTAGGACTGGCTATTTGTTTACTTCGGCGGCAGTTGCAAATGGCTGGCGGTGCATGATGATACCTGCGTTTATTGTGTTGTTATTTTACGGTATTTACAGTATGTTACAGGTTTATAAATATTTTATTTTATTTTAATATACCGGTAATCTTATTTTTAATCCAGTTTCCCAAACGTAAATTTCAGAAGAAAATAATTAGTGGTAGGACGGTGGGATTAAGGCGAGTGTTTTACGATGCTCTCCATCACCACTGGTGACACACTAAACAACATGATGTAGAATTTCAGATTTTATACCCAGCATTTAAGACGACCCCTAATTTTGGACCAATTTTTTATGGTTCAAATTCCGTCTTATACGCCGACATGTAAGTTACAGCACCAAGAAAGTAGTCAAGGCAAGGCAGGTCGGCCCTACCTGCCCAGACGGCTGCTTCGACAAGCTTGGCAGGGATAACATCAACACCATTTTCACCAATTTCTGGGCAATTGGTGACTATAACAACCAGAATGGCTACCTGCAGGCACTCAGCAGGGACGTGCCCATGAAGAGAAAGCTGACTGAAGCGAGCCGTAGGCCTTTTAACTACCATTTTTTGTGAAGCTTTGGCAGCACTAGTTTAAGGTCTGCTGCTAAGGTTTCGCTTCTATTCACAGGCTTGGCAAGAAGAAAATGGAGGTCCTGATGCATAAGAGGAAGGAATCACCAAGTGAAATGCCCATCTCTGACAAGCGAGGACATAATCCATCCACTGGGGCCATCATAGGGAGCTACCTGCAACATGTGCACGAGAACATTCGTGCCCTGCCAGTGCTCGCTAGCATTTACAGCCGTGCACACAGCCCTCACAGCGGTACCTGGAGGCCGGAGGCAGCATCACCGAACTCCACAGCATGTATCTGGTGTAGATGAGCGGACATTATCCTGATGAAGAAACTGTCTCCGAGAGTTTTTACCACACTGTGTTCACGAGGGACTACAACATCATGTTCCGTGCTCCTCTCACCAACGTCTGCAACACCTGTGCGAAGCTGGAGACCCAGATCTCTTCCCCAGAAGGATGGTGAGGACACCAGCGACGTGAGGAGCACCCTGAGGGAGCACAAGGCCATCGCACAGGTGCCTTGGGACCTTCTTCACCAGGTGGAGCAGGGTAACCCTGGTTATGGTGATGTCAAGACGGTGGCCATCGACCTGCAGCAGACCCTTCCTTGCATGATTTAGTTGATGAAGAATCTGTGTGGCAATTTTTAGAGAGGGCAGAGAAAGACTTTGATCAGTATGTGATTATAATGAGGCCATTAAAGTTATATGCACTCCTCATGTTTACGTAATTTTAAGTTGCTACGATCTTCAGGAATAATAAAACGAAGGAACTAAACAAAGTAAGATTGTAATACTATTACCATAATACTGTTTTTACCAAAGATTATGCAAACATTCTCCACCTTTGTATTCGTATGTTAATTACGTTGGGGGAGAGGTTAATGGTGGGGGTATGAGTGTAGTGGTGTTTCCTTATGATTACAAACTCGTGATAAAATAATAACTATTCACAGTACTAACTTACAGTTTTCACAGTTCGTTAGGAGAGGGATTAAGCTGCACGATAAAAAAAAGAAGAACCCTCTAGCTTAAAAAACAAAAAAGTTATAGTTGTTTGAACTTCAAAAAACTTTAAACGCATTTTTCTAAGCTTTGTGAATTTGGCGCTTCACCCCCTTCTGACGCGGAGTGCCTCATTTAGGTTGGCCATTTGGAGACACGGGTTACCACAAGGGGTAGGAACACATTTCCGCAACTGTACCAATATGAAAAAGAAACTAAGCTAGGAAATGATTATTAAAAGTTTATTTGGCTAAGGTGCACTGATATATAGACTAAAATAATGATGACAAACTGTAAAGACAAGGTCATTTAGCACATGTATGCAAGAGGCAGAACTTAAAAATCTGCAGGTAAAAGTTTTGAAATGATGGCTGGAGAGTCACCTTGATGTGAACAACAATGTAAGAGGAGAAACCCACAATGGCAGATGAAATGTCTATTCCAAACAGTTTCGATAAGGACTTTCACATTCATCACTACATAAGTGCCTTATAATGGAGTGAAAGAAAGAAAAAACAAAGACCAACTCACCTCTACTAATCCAATGGGCAAGCCAGCGAGAGAGTTGCACAGCACGCTTGGGAAACATATGGAAGAACTTGGCTTTAATGGCACCTTGTGAGAGCTGAGTAACTCCGTTTATTAAATCTCTGTGAGAGGTGCCAGCAACAGAACGAGAAAATAGATAATTTACAACAGGGGCGATCTCCGCTCGTAACCGTGTTTGAATACTCTTCTGAACCTCCTCCACAGTGTTAGGGTAGTCTAAAGCCAACTGGTGAAAAGAAAAATTGTGATGATAGCTCCATACATATACAGTATAAGCAATCATAGTGTTAAAAGTTACTTCAAAATTTATAAGATTAGATGAAATATTGAAGACACACTCATCACTTTCCAGAAACAACTGAAATGGAAAATAATAATAATAAAAAAAAAATACTGCCAGACTAGTTTTTAAGGACAAAATTGAGTAATGAATCCTGAAACCCTACTTCATGGCTGAGTAATTATAGAAGTAAGTTTACTAACATATTTCTTGATCCTCCCAAAATGTTGCTATTAAAAGCACCATTTTATGGAATGACCCCTCTGTTGCATTTATTCAGATAAATAAGGGAACGTGAGTTATCAAATCCAAGCCCAACTATAAAATGGAACTTCATGATCATTATCTCCTATTTTAGTGTCAGTTGCCTGGCTTGGGTTTGGGCACAAAACTTGTGTACAGTCAGTTACTTTTGAGTCGCTACAGTTCTAAGTTTTAGTGCCAACATGTACTCTGATGGGGTGAAAGTTGAAAAAAGGCAGGGAGAAACAGTGGAATAAGCAAAAGCTCCCCACAATCATGTAGCTGTTGTGTAAGCCAAGTACCTGTTAACATGATCGTCACTGTTTTACAGCCATTTTCAATGCCCTCATGGATTAGCTGCAGCTACCTGGTGGCATGGTGTGCAGGTTGCTGTCTGGTAAATTCTAATAAAGTTTTATGGCTAGAAGTCTTTCATACAGCATACCTAAGCCCCTGTCTGGAAGATATGACATGAGAGATACCCCTCACTAATGACCTTCACTGAAAACAAAAAAAATCACACAAAATAAGTTAATAAAATTAACCCTTTAGATGTGGTTTGACTACAGTTGAACAAAATATAAATTTTAATAAACAGGGTGTTCAACTTTTGTCCATGTCTTTCAAAGAATACATCACTTCACTTCTCAACACTCCCTCTCCCACCGAACAGATGACAGAGTTGGTGGTAGTTGCCATTTGGTGATGACTTGGCTGACTGCAACCACCCACCCCACAATACATTTGTCTCTTTCTCCTCATTTTTAAATTTGTTTTCACTGTTATTTAGATATGTTAGGGATGTCATGTCAAGGTATAGTTTTAAGTGCATTATTTGTCATAATGCAATATACAAACAAACCTCACTAATCCAGTACCCGATTATCTGGATATTGCTTATTCTGGACGAATGCGAATGTGAGCATTCACATATTGTTTAATTCAGACACGCTACGTTGATCTGGACTGAACTCATGCTGTAGTACAACAATACCCCATTTAGTCACCCCTAATTGTGGTGACTAACCCTTACGTTGCCTTATCATAATTAAACGACACACAAGTGGCGCCAAAATATTTTTTCTTGCAAAAATAAACTCAGAATGGTAAAAACCTATGTAAAACTTGAAAATTTTTCTTGCTGAACACTGTCAATCCATTACAGGGGCCTATTGTATGTGGCCTTGGCCCATCACCGTGGTTATGGCTCCCAGCTCCTCACAATGTAGAACTCATTGTGCTGTTTTCACATCATGTGCCTTCTTTGTATTGTATACCGGTGATGTAATGGCCAGCATGTTCGCCTCGCAAGCTAGTGGACCCGGGTTCGATCCCCGGGCAGGATGAAACTATAGGCAAGTTTCTTTCTGCCATTTGCCTGACTACCCAGCAGCAATTAGGGACCTGGATGTTAATCGATTTGCGGATTGTGTTCCAGGTAGTGGTTAGCCAGTGCTGTTGGCGAGTTGTCCGGTCTTCTCGGACTGTTCCTTGACACTGGGTCAAAGGTGGGCACTTGCAACTTTTTTTTGTGCTTAAATAGTTGCGCTGCAACCACAACCATTTTAAAAAAGTTTCGCCGCAAGTGCAACTGCAACGCACAACTTAAAAAAAATAAAAAATAAACAAACAAATACTAATGTAAAAAAAAATGCCTATTTACAAGTAAAACAAAATATAATTGATACAAAAAAGTTAATATTATCAATATTTGATTAAAAAAAAAAAAAAATAAAAAAAAATATGCCTCTGCCACTGGCCTCAGTCTCAGTCACTTCAACTTCCGTGTCCATGTCTGGGTCGGAAGGATCACTGCTGCCAGCCACAGACTCCGTCTCCTCGTCACAAAACGACCCATAAAACTAGTAATAACAAGAAACAAAACAACAAGAAACTGACGCCGTAAGTGCCGTGCTACTGACTGGTTATGATATGAGTCATTCCTCCCTCCCCTTCCCTCGCTGTAGTTGCCAGATTTCATCTTTCACATTAACTCTACAAAGTTTCTAAGTTCATGTGAAAGATGAAATCTGGCAACTACAACGAGGGAAGGGGAGTGAGGGAGTGACGGGGAGGTCCACATCTGGTTTACAGTTCAGAAATATGCTGCCCGACCTGTATCATGTGTTTGCAGACTCATTCCGTAAGAAACAGAAATTTAAGTAATGAGCGACTCTAGGGATGTCCGTTTGTTTATGCGGTCGTATTCCAATTTTCAATTATTGCCCAAAAATTTTGCGCGTTGCGCTTGAAAATGCTTGTAAAAGTTGTGCCGCAACTCTCTGGAAAAATGTGCAGTGCAACTGCACTGCAACCAAAAAAGTTGTGCGACGCAACTGCCCAACTTTGCACTGGGTCATGCAACTTGTTAACTTAGGGTGGCCCTTGGGCTAGCCATCTTTGATTTTGAGGGGCATCCATTATTATTTATATACAGTGTACAGTACTCTTGGCAACACTGTACACTAATCCCTCCATATTTGCATGGGTTACGTTCTTGGAAATTGCCGTGAATTCGCAAATACTGAAATTAATACCTTATGGCAAAAACAGGGTTGGTACCATGGCAACCAAGAATATACATTTCTGGTTACAATAATTTGGGTTAGAAATGATAAATGTTTCAGAGACAGTGGTGATGTTTATATGGAGTGCATTTTTGTAACACAAATTAATAAGAAAATAATAGAAAAATAATTTTCTCTTTGATGAATGAAGTCTGTGTATGCAAATAAACACATAATTTATATCACTCAAGCTATAGTCTGCCCTAAACCCATTTTCTCTAATACTGAGTAAAGGAGTAAATATTACAATACTGTACTCTAATACGGCTTAGAAATAAAGACAATATAATATAAAACTTCAATACAGGTTAAGAAAAATCAAGAGCAGAAGTGAGTATGTGAGAAGGCAGTGAGCTGTACTGTGTTACTGAAGACCACCAACTAGGCCATGTCCCTCCTCTTAGTGTGATGTCACACACACACACACTTCATCCTTGACCACCGACGGGTCAAGATGCACCTGGCGCTGCTCTAGCAGCAGCCACGGCAATTGTTATGTTGGCCCATACCAACTCCTTCCCCTGAACCCTCCTCCCCACCGGAACACCAAGTTCTCGCCAGAAGTTACTATTTCATTTGGGAAAGGAATGGAACCAGTGTTGAATAGTGGTGAACAGTGCTTAAGTCAGTGAAAAACAACTCGGCAGTTACAGTCGAGTCTTACCCAAGCTAACCTTCACACAGTGAGGTCCCAGGTACCCAATGATAATCCCCTGAGACTCCAGAATAGGGAGGCCTGGGACCACACCTAAAGTGAGTGAGGTCCTGTGACCACGTGGTGTCCCCATGATGCTACGATACCACGTAGTGAATGAGTTGCTACAGCATCATGTGAGGTTCCTCAAAACACCATCGGTGAGGGAATTACTACACCATGTGATGCCTCTCATAACACCATCCGTGAGGGAATTACTACACCACGTGATGCCTCTCATAACACCATCCGTGAGGGAATTACTACACCACGTGATGCCTCTCATAACACCATCCGTGAGGGAATTACTACGCCATGTGATGCCCCTCATAACACCATCTGTGAGGGAATTATTACACCACATCAGGCCCCTCATACACCATCTGTGAGGGAATTACTACACCACATCAAGCCCCTCATAACACCATTTGTGAGAGAATTATTACACATCAGGCCCCTCATAACACCATCTATGAGGGAATTACTACATCATCAGGCTCCTCACACCATCTGTGAGGGAATTACTACGTCATCAGGCCCCTCATAACACCATCTGTGAGGGAATTACTACACCACATGATGCCCCTCATAATGCCATCTGTGAGGGAGTTACTACACTACGTGTCTGCTGTTCAACACCTCAGCTCACATGATCTACGTGACCTCCGCTGTAAACATTAATCTGTATGTTCACTGGATGTTCCTTCACCTTTCTCCAATGAAGGCTTTTGTTAAACCACCAATGTATGTAATAAGTCATTTATGTCCAATGTATATTTTCAGCCTTCGGGCTGCAGAACTTTTTCAATAAACCGTTTATTAAAAAAAAATAAAACACACACACACGCACTTCCCTCAGCCTTCATAGGGTAAGGACGTGTGTAGTCGGCGCTGCCTGCTAACGCGGCCGTGGTCTCTTGACCATGGAGACAGCTGCCAGCCCGGTCTGTCGGGCTCTCCCCTGCCCCATCTCCTCCTTCCCATCTGCATTTATCAACAACCTCACACCAACAGTACAGTGCAAAGATTGACAATTAACCCACAAGTGATATACAAAAGTGGCAATTTCAATTCGAAGGAAAAGCTAAAAAAAAACAGCAATACTGAGTGTGGCTGGATCTGACCTAACCTGACCTGACCTGACCTCACGGCTTCACCTGACCTAACCTGAAGGATGGAGCACACCTGCATTGCCCCAAGCTACTGTCCTGGCCACGTGGCCACACACCTGCCCAACCGCATCCAGCCCATACGAGCACGAACTGGTTGCTACAAGAACAGCCCAATCCCAACCATTGTAAAAATTATCAACACCTAATTATTATATATCATATTTGTATCACTTATGTTACTTGTACATCATTTGTAAATCAAGAGACCCATTTCCCAATTATGTAATTGTATATTTTCAGCCTTCATTCAGAATCGAGTATGACCATCATCCAGCTATGATGCAATGATACGAGTTATAAAGGATGTCACCTAGGTTGATGAGTTCTGAGGTGACTAAAGAGGCTGATATGGGACTGGCAGAGTTGATCACAGATGTTGCACATGTGGGGGGTCTACATCCAGTGGGTGAGGGGTGGCGGCAGCGTCTTTCCGGCATTAGCGCTTATCTGCCTCGTAATGCAGTCGGGATACTCAAAAGTATTGACACCTTCTTGTGTGGTGCTCCTCCAAGCATCATGGTATGCAGTAATCGTCTCCCAAGTGAGGGCGTAGATTTGGCACTTTTTCAGGTTTGTCTTAAGACTATCCTTATACCTTTTCAGTTGCCCACGAGCGTTACGTTTACTATTTGTTAGGTGACAGTAAAGTAGCTGGTTTGACAGTCTGTTGTCGTCCATGTCGGTAACATGGCCAGTCTAGCGTAGTTGGTAGTTGTTCATGGATAATGGAAGCCTCGATGTTTCTACAGTTGGTGTCAGCAACAATACTGGCATTTGTTCTAGTCTTCCCAGCGAACTCGGAGGATGGAACGTAGACTATGTTGGTGAATGTTTACAAGTGCCTTGACATGCCTGCTGTATGTGACCCATGTCTCACTGCCATATAGCAGGGTGGGGAGGACCACTGCTCGATATACGTGTAACTTTGTAGATAATTTCAACTCCCTAAAGCTGAAGACACGGTTTTGGAGTCTGCCAAAGGATTGAGATGCACATCTGATTCGAAACTGAATCGCTTCATCGATGCCCACGGTGGTGAACAGGTGGGAGCCGAGATACCGAAAGTGGGTAACATTAGTGAGGTTAGTACCGTTAAGCTGGGTGGAGGGTGGAGGTGTGGGTAAAGGACTGCCTGAAGCACAAAGGGAACATTACAAAGTATTAATTGAAGTGGTAAATGTTACTTGACTTTATTTATATAACATAACAGTAAATATGCATTTTTTTTCAGCAGACGAACTAACTTTCCGCACAGACTGTATATATTCAAACTAATCACTAACTTATAAGAATTCCAGCAATGTTAATTATATTCTCCCAGGTCAGGTCATTGACATTTTATAAGAGAAAACTTAAAATCACTCTTAAGGACAGATAAATAAATAAGCATTAGACCTTGGCATCAACTGTCAAACATATCTCCTCCCCCCCCCCCCCATCTTCCTAGCCAGTAAACAGACCATTTTGCATCCCTTAAATTTAGCTGTAAGTGTTTCTTTTAACATAATACTACAAAAAACAATGTTTTGTTTATTCTAGGAGATGGGCTGAGGTGCATCTGGGTAGACTCTCAGTCTTTTTAGTATTTTGTGTTTCTCTCAAGCACCAAACTAAATTATTCCATTGAAACAACACTTCGATTTAGTGCGAATTCGGTTTAAAGCGACCTCTCTTGGAACGTATCTCGTGTTATATCGACGTTCTACTGTAGTGGTGGTGGCTGCAGTGATGGAGGTGGTGGCCGCAGTGATGGAGGTGGTGGTGGCGATGATGGAGGTGGTGGCCGCAGTGATGGAGGTGGTGGTGGCGATGATGGAGGTGGTGGTGGCGATGATGGAGGTGGTGGTGGCGATGATGGAGGTGGTGGTGGCAGTGATGGAGGTGGTGGTGGCAATGATGGAGGAGGTGGTGGTGGCGATGATGGAGGTGGTGGTGGCGATGATGGAGGTGGTGGTGGTGATGATAATGGAGGTGGTGGTAGTGATAGTGATGATGATGGAGGTGGTGATGAAGGTGGTGGTGATGATGGGGGTGGTTGTGATGATGGAGGTGGTGGAGGAAATGATAGAGGTGGTGGTGACAAAAGACATTCATTAACAAATTCACCAGATTAATAACAATCTCAATCTGCACATGAATTATTGGTACCAGCAGCATGGGAAAATACCCATACACACACACACCTAAATACAGGTTCACCATTGAGATCAATAAAATTTTTAACATTACCACCCCTGGACTGCCACCACTCTCACAACAGCCACAGGGCTTTTGTACAGCCCCTGTTCCCATTTAGACAAGCATCTAAAATTGATGACTAATGTGGGTGAAGCAGATCACGCACTAGTGTCATATGATCTCACTGACTGAGGGCTATGGGCAGTTAAAGAGGGCAGCCCAAAGGCAGGACAAATAAGTTAGTTACCGATATAAATTTGTAATGAAAAAGAATTATATATTTTTTTTACTTTATCATAGAAATTATATTCCTGTGCAATCTCTCACAATGAAATTGATCGTAATTATGCAAATTTGGCACATTTTCCATGATTGGTGTAACCTCATCTCAAAATTGAGGTGGAATCAAAATCACAATTCCTATTTCCCTTAACAGCAGCAATATGTTTCTAAAGATGGCATCTCAAGATTAAGTAATATTAGAGAAACAGTGCATGCAAGATATTGCAACAATGAGCTAAGATTAAGATGCCAAGGGAGCATAAAAATAGAATAAAGATGATTTTACACACAAGGTGGCAGTGTCCTCATTTCAAAATATGAGGTCAAGATACATAAAACATCCATGGCAGAGGTCAAATTAAACAGATAAGCTAAAGTTATGCAAATATGCACGAGTAGCACACACAAGGAAGGAAGGAAGGAGTAAAAATAACACATCTCCACCATAAGAATGGCAGTCCTGTACATTACATAAAAACTGGACTCAAATTTCTTTTCCGGTAGAGGATTTACTGGATTGATATTAATAAAAATGAATACTAACCAAGACATTGATGATTGCAGTGGCACCACAAGCTGAGGTAGCAATCTGTGTGACTTGACGTGCCGAGGCTTGTAGCTCTGTCCAGATCATTACCTTCTTTACTCTTGGGCAACTCTCCTCTCCCCCACCTTCACCTTCACTTGCCTGTACAGGTATAACATATTCTTTATTAAACTTGAAATAAAAGAGGAATCCAAACAATTATGTAAGTATGGCAGCAATACAATGCTGTATACTCAAGATTGTTAAATTCGTAGGATGAGTGCGATGGAGCATTTTTTTTTACCTTTTCCGCAAGAACACTGAAGCACAACATAGAAGGAAGTGTGGGGGAAAAAAATGAAGCTATTTATTAAACTAAGTCTCCTCTGGGCACTGTGTTTGTGGAGGCAGCAAAATGTAGATCTTTCTCAAACATTACAGCCTAAGAGCTTTTCCACAGCTTCAATAACTGAAGGCTGCCAATAGTGTACAGGTATTTGGATAATCTGCTGAAAATTTTTATGTATAATACTGTGTATTAGCCACTGTCTAACAAACAGTAATACTTATATGAATGTGGGTTATATACATTAGGTTTATATAATTGCATCACCCACGGTAATTTTCCTTTAAGTCGTAGCAATCATCCATTGGACATGTGACAGGATATTTCAACACTCGTGTCTCTAGACTGCAGTCAAGAATAAAGTAGCAGGCCTGCAGAGCAGTCCGCTCGTCTCTCACAGCTACTGGACAAAGCTAATTACTTTTTTTTTTTTTTTTTACGGGGATTAGCCCACCCGGACACAGGTCACTGACCCACATCGAGGCCTGGGGGCGAAAATGTAATAATAATAATAATAATAATAATAATAATAATAATAATAATAATAATAATAATACAGTAATAAATAATTGTCATAATAATTCATAATAAATAAAATTTATGATAAAACAAACAAAAATAAAATAATAAAATAATGATGATAATAATACAGTAACTGTAATAATAATAATAATTTTAATAATAAAGAACTATAAATACAAAAATGAAAAAAAGATCAAAAGCGAGAAACGATATATGTATGTTGTGTTGTCAATGGTAAGAGAAACAATTGAGACCCTGCAATTGTGTGTAAATGAAGCAGAAAGTCAGATCAGCAACCTGGGACTTGGTCACAATTTTCGTGATGCCATATGGCAGCAGGGTCTACCATTAGACAACACATTATGCTTCCAATATCTTCCCAGGCGGTAGTACCTCCCTGTCCGTTATTCACGCTCATAGCCTTAATTACGGTGATATCCTAGGTATTGTGCAATAGTTTATTTTCTTAATAAATGGAGAAAAGACCATTTGGGTTCGAAAACTTAACCCATAAACATTTGTAACCGGAAATTGTAACAACTGATTTGATTATTAATTCAGTCATCACATCTCTTGTACCGAGAAACTTGATCTTGTTAAAATGGGTGAGGCTTGTTCTTAAAAGAAACACAGTAATCTGGGTGTCTACTGGCCAGACAAAACAAAATTCCATGGCTTTTCCAGGTGTAAATTTGAAAAATTCCAGAAACATTAATTCGCTATTTATTATGATAGAATAACAAATTTAGAAGTTTTCAATAATAGTTTTTATTATTTTATTTTTTATTATGCATTGTATTTACTATGAATTTTTATTAATATTATTATTATTACATTTTCGCCCCCAGGAACCGATGTGGGTCAGTGAGCTGTGCCCGGGTGGTCTTATCCCCATAAAAAACAAAAAACAAAAAAAAAACAAGCTACCTGATGCGTGTTGTGTTGTGTAGTGTGTGTGTGTGTGTGTCTGTGTGCATATGTGAGTCAGTGCATATGAGTGTATTTGTGTGATATATCCTCTGATATAACATAAGTTTCAATTCATAACCTGGAATGTTACAGAGAATATCAAAGTGGTGTAATGGTCAGCATGCTCGCCTAGCAAGCGAGAGGACCCGAGTTCGATCCCCAGCAAGGGTGAAACTATGGGCAAGTTTCTTTATGCGATTTGCCTCTGTCTACCCAGCAGTAATTAGGGACCCACCACAGCCGGCACCAAGTCAGTGATAGTGATAATGAGGATATGGACTATATGGACTTTGAGGGGTTTGACAAAGAGGCCCTGCAAGCCTCTGTGGTGGATAGTGATACAATTGATACAAGTGATACAGGTGAGGGCCAATAATCTGCCCTCTGCCTCGGAACCAACCCCCCATCCCCGTGTGCCCAGCCATCTTTTCTACTAATGTAAGTGTTAAAAAACCTAATATTATTGATATTTCTCTTAATTATTAATTGTGTGTGCATACCATCATAAAATTAAGAAGTTATTTTTACTACAACGTAGGTATTGTCTGAAAAAATGGAGTTTGGGGGTCGGCCCGGTCTCTATTTCAATTAATCCCATATGTTATGTTGTTCACTTTACGCGGGCCGCCGTGGGTTGAATTAACCGCGTAAAGTGAGGGTTCACTGTATATCATTTTTTTACATTAATTTTACTACAGCTACAACCAGGGTCTATTATCTTCATTTTCTCGTGTAGAACTATCGTCCCGGACTCCTGGCTGTAAACACAAACGAAAACAATGGCATCCCATCTCCTCTTGTGTGACCATATTATTATTCATTTATATTGTATAAGGTGCATTCAGAAACATTAATTAAAGAATATAGTTTGTAATTTTCATTAATTGTATTGTTTTTGGGGAAAAGAGAGTAAAAAGCCACACAAAAGATATGAAAAGGTCACACTTAGGAACACATCTCATTATTATGGCTTTATTTTAATGGTAATTAATGATTCGCAATACGATGATTCACCTTACACTGCAATATTGGATGACACATTACCATCGTTATTCATAGCTTTACTGTAGTTGTGTACTATTTATCATTAGTTAGGTAGGTTTCTTAGTATTTGTGAACCAATTTTGTGGTTTGGGGGTATGATATTGGAGTACATTTGTCATTAGGAACTGAACCCTATTTTTTCCAAATGTTCTATCGAGATATGAAAATTCACCTCACAAATGATTTTCTTGGAACCTAACTCATTCGTATAGCAGTGGATACCTGTATTTGAGAATCTCATGATTTGTTGGGTTGTGTTAGTATGTGTGTTGCCACAGTGAGCCGTCATTCAGGGTGGGCTAGAAATTAAGGCTTGTGACTGTACATACCGTATTTGGATCCTGTGTTGGATTTGTGTTCTTAGGGCGTAAGGACTTGACAGGAAGTGGACAGGGACCTCCACCAGCTATCACAGTACAGGTGGTATTTCCTGTTGTAGTCATCAGAAGGCCAGTCATTGGTGGCATGCTTGTATGGCCTGAAGGATGGCTAGCTGCAGAGGGTGCTGCTTGAGTAGATATCATACTAGTGTGTTGGCCCACAGATACTAAAGTGCTTTCTACACTGGTACCTGACGCTACTCCACGGCAGCCTGAACTTCCGCTCTGAAATTATGAATACAAATACTGTACAGTACATCACATCATGCATGGTTAAAATTACATAAGGCAGTCTGGATGAGTGGATATTCTGGAAGGACAAAGATATTGCCAAAGTGGTACTGTCCTCCTTCCCTCCCAGTACAGTATACAAGTAATGTCATATACTGTAGTGTACTCAAATTACTATATATGGGGTAGACCCTTGTCAGCAAATATGAAAACTTACCTCGCTGCAAATTACAATCCTACTCATTTTAACAAAAGTACACCTTAATGTGGTGTTTTAGTGGTCTTATTGGGTTGATAAACACCAAATTAAAATATATGAACTGTACACTTAAACACTCTAAGATAAAATGGGTGGATCATGTATTTAACATAACCAGAATGTAATTGTACAATACAGTGGTCTCTCGGTTAACGAAATTTCGGTTAATGAATTACCTTCCATAAGAATCTTCAATTCGGTTAACGAACAAAAATTCGATTAACAAAATCCTTATGAAAATCACGTTTTGTTGTGAGCATCAGCTGGTCAGCTGATGGCCCAGTCTGCCAATTCAGTAATCTGTTCTAAGTTTAAATTCGTTTCCAATGGATTAAATATCAATAAATTTCATCTTTTTAATATTTTTTTAATGTTTTATATTAAAATAATTAGTCATTTTAACATTTATTTAACATATTGATTATATATGCAGTACAAGGAACTAGTTAGTTGTGCATCCATCAGATTTGTGGGTCGGTCACCAGGCGTCAGTCTGGCTTTGTTTTCTGTGGAGAGAGAACCTATTTTGTTGGTGTCTTGAATATTTTTGCATTTTTCATTGAAATTATTGGTCATTCTGAACTTTAGTTAACATATTGATAATATATAGCGCAGTGCAGTGTTGATTTAAAGAAAATAATCTTGAATTACACCTAGTGAATTAAAATTTTATTGGTGAAATGAGGCATCAAGCATGGGTCCCCTGAAAGGTGATATTTACTCCATACCACTTCCTTCTCTTCTCCCTTCTCCTCCACCCCCACTTCTAATTCCCATCATCATCATCAACCAGGAACCTTCTACATACACACCTCAAAGTAAGTGTACTTTACTGCATTTTTTTTTTACTTTGTACGTACTTTTCGGTGAACTGGAACCAATTACCCAATATCCCATTAAAACAATGGATTCGGTAAACAAAATTTTTGGTTAACGAACGACCTTCTGGAACGAATTGTGTTCGTTAACCGAGGGACCACTGTGCTGTACCTATTCTGTTAAAAATCCGTGTCTTTCATCTTTGATATAAAATCTTCCTTGCACAAAGTTCTTTCTAAGTCAGGCACTTCATTAAACAGGCTTCAATAATCTACATCAAATACTAATAGAAATTATTAAGCAGAATAAGCATCCAATACTCTCTTATTGACATTAATTTATATAAAATGGTGAGAACACTTATCATGAAATGTCGATCTACATTACAGCATTTTCATGTGCAAGGGAGGAGAGCAAGGGGTACCGGGGTAAGCAAAAAATATGGTTGTGAGAAATGATTTCAAAGATCAGAGATGGCTAGAAACTGTGCAGCTTGGAGAGCTGCCATCAGGTTATCTAGCCAACTGAAACAATCTTGGAAAAAGGCTGTAAAATGGTGATGATGATGATGAATGAAAAATCACATGTGGTATAAAGATGGATGAGAAATGAAAATGTGAGAGATGTGCTATGCAGAGGTGAGAAGGTTTGACCAGGCCCCCACAAAGCAAGATGGTGGTAAAAGGTTTTTGGGCTTCAGGGATAACTGGCCCTTTTGACATGCACACTTCTCATTATTTCCCTTATGTAAAATTCATATGCCAAAACAGAAGCATATCACACTGACTATGTAAAGGAAGACGAAAAAATTGAGCCGTAATCTACCAGGTACAGTACATATAATATACAGTACCTATTAGACAAAGTATTTGTCTTAAAGTAGTACCTGTGAAGTTGCTGGATCAGAGAGGATATTGAAGACTGAATTTTCCCTTCGGTGAAGCCTGCCTGCACACGCCTCTAAGTTAGCACTTTCAACTTCAGTTGGAATTGCAGTCTCTGTCTGAGCATCACAAAGCTGCTCTTCCTTCTTTGGTCTGTGAGAAAAACAAACATTCTCATACTTGGGACTGGAAAGTTGGTTGTGGAAGCTGATGCTGCGACCAAACTTTTCTAGTGGACTGTATTCTTTGGCAGGGCTGACTTCTGGTGCAGAAACTGAACCGAGATTGTTATTATTTGTTTTATTGGTCGTCTTATTGATGTATTTGCCTGAGCTAATATGTCCTGATCCTCGATCTTCTCTTTCTCGTACTGCTGCTTCACTGCCACCACTGGGTCGTGAGAATCTGGCACCTAAATCATATCTCTCAGAATTACTGTCATCTCCATCTTCATCATCAGCATCTTCACAAAAATCATCAATCATATCCATTATATCTACATCACCCAAATTATTTTCGACACTGTCATTATCAGGTGGGTCATATTCATCATCATCTGCTTGAGGAGTAGGCCCATCTATTGCCTTATTTTGCACATCACAGAATTCATTTAATTCTACATTTAAGTCTTTTGGGAGATTCATTCCATCTCTTGGCACATTTAACGGACTACTTCTTGCACTTGGTCTGTCATCCAAACCAGCACTTGGACCTCTTCCAATATTTAGTGTAGAGTGATTTTCATGTACACTCAAATTCAAGGCCACATTGTCAATTTTACCATCACATATACTAGATTCACACCGTTTACACATAAGATTTCTCATTTCCGAACAATAATTATTAGCTTTTCTATCTAAAACACTTATAGGATTCAAAGCACCAGCAACACTAAAGGCAGTAGCATGTTCTCTATTTAATAATCTACTATCACACTCATCAACACAATTATCTTCACAGTCAGAATCTACATCCCCATCACCATTGGGCCCTGGGTCAAAATCCATTTCTAAAAAATCCATATCAGGAGAGAATAAGTTATTCTGCTCTGGTGGATCAGGTCTTGTAGAACGTAACCTATGCACCATTGCTCCACGATCATCAACACCTCGCTCTGTATTTGGTAAACCACAGCTCAGGCACATATCAATGAGATGTGACAGATTGGCCTCAAAATTCTCTCCCTTGTATGTATAAATACAGCCATCATCTTCATCTTCCTCTTCACCATTGAGAAGATTGAGTTGATCAGGGTACCTTGGAGGATCCCTACTCGGGCTCAGCTCGTTGCACCTTACTATGGGCTGCTGCTGTGGCAGCTGTTTGCTAGAGTTGATGGATGCATACATTTGGAAGTATTCATCCATACCATCCTTAACAGAAGTACCCTTCTCAGGATACACATTATTGTTCACTTTGGCTGGAAACTTATGATAGAGGCAATAAGATTTTTCATCAGCACACCTAAGATTACACTTTTCCTCAATCAGATTATTGTTGAGGAGGGATTGCTCACTATGTCTTTCACTTGACTGTGTACTGACTCCACTAGTTTGAACAGTGTGTCCTGATTGTGCCTTGTGAATGCCATTAACTGTTACCACTCCATTTGTGATGGGGAGTGTATGAGATGGTCTCAATACTTCACGTGGAGTTACTGCATTATTCTCCTCTTGACTCCATCGGTCTCCTGCTCCTAAGAAAAAAAGTAAAATAAATGTTATTAGAAAAATATCAAGAAAATCTTTTATAGCTTATATGTAATTAAAGAATGTCCTGTGGGATGATATAATAAAATGACACTATTACAGTTTTCAACATCATAATACAGTAAAACCACACTAAGGAAGACTAATTAGGGGGAAGGGGTGTCTGGGATAAGAGGTTGTCCACCTTAGAGCAAAATTTTCCCAAAAGACAGCCATTTTAAAAAAAAACGAGTACAACACCAATGTATCCCATTTTTATGAAAGAAATATGTTTTTTAATCAAAATTATTTAAAAAAAGTAATGTACACAAAGTTTTTCATATAATATCTCAGACTATAGGAGAATACAATTTGCATTGCTGAAATCCTTGCAAGACAGAGATTAATTTGAATATAAACGCTCGCAACTGAATTTACAGGGACTGTGAGAGGCTTACAAAGCATCAGGTCAGGTCAATAACATGGGATCCACTAATCCACACACCACCCACCGCACATGGAAGAAGAGCTTATAAAAATGGGGACATAACAAGTCATGTCAAGTCAGGTCAAAATATTGAGACCCACTAATCATCTACCCTACATTTACCCCAAATGCTTTCAAAGCATTTTTAACCTTGGGCCACTGACAAATAAATTTGTGTAACATATCAGTTTTGTAATGACCATCACTAAGATTTATAGAATTCAATTCCCTAATCAAACTTGCTTCAACCAGAAGTCTTTCTGTGACACATGATGATTTATACACTTCTAAGCTGTTTTCCCAAACTATGGGATGATTATTGTTCCTTATATGAACGAACAGCGCACTGCTTTCAGATGCTGTTCTAATATTGTACTTGTGCTGTTTAATTCTGAGTTGCAATGCTTTCCCAGTCTGTCCTACATAATTTCACCTGTTGCATATCACATGATAAAATATTTGACTTAAAGATATACAGTACAGGTATATAATTTACCCAGTGGCTTGATTCTCAACTAGACAGAATAATTGGGTTTCCTCCTTGTACATTACCCTGTGTGTACCCTATGCAAAAATAACACAAGTACACTTCTGGGTATTATGGCAGAAGCTGGAAAAACCCTTATTGGACTAATATCCTTCCAAAGGGGTTGGGTAACCAACTATACTAAAATAAAATAAAATTAGCAGCTACCATGATTGGTTGGTGGTGGGGTGGAGAGCATCTGGGAAGTTAAGTCATAATTATTGGTCACCAGTCAAACTCCCAGGTAAAACCAAAAGTTGCTCATCACTTTATAACACTTTTTATTTTCTTTCAATTGCTGTTCTGTATTTCCTTTATTAAGATGTTCAATGCGGTAATTTTCTCCACCTTGTTTTCGGACATTATTTCAGATTATAATTAAAATGTTGATTTGCGAGAATATGTAGAATGAAAAGAAAAAATTATTAAATAATGAAGAACTGTTGAGCAACCAAAAGACAAAAATCCCTTTAATCAATCAGGGATGACTGTGAGGAAGGGGGCAGGGCATATCTGTCAAGTTAATTTGATTATTGTACTGAATGTTAAGTCAAAAGATTGAAAAAAACAAAAACAAAAATTATCTGAAAAATAATTTCTCAAGACATACTCATTTACTGTTGTAATTAAATGTCAAAACATTAAGAATAAAATAAATATCACATAGAGAGTGAAAAGATGAACTGACCAGCAAGTAATTTATCTGAAGAAGTTCTGGCCCTGTCTCTCTCCATGGGTGGCTGGGAGAGCTTGGTGGTTGAAGATGAGAGATCCTGTTTTTTACCTAGATCCTCTAGTCTTTCTCCTTCATCACCAGGACCACACCCGCCACAGCTGTCCATGGCTACCTGAATTATATATTAAGCACATTAAACCATTTCTATTAAAACTATATGGGGTAAAGGTGGGTCACCCTGTACATAACCACCAATGACACAAACAACTATGTGAATATGCATCAATACATAAATAAGTAAACTTCTGATAATCCACAAGTTTAGTATTGTATTCATAGTCTGAGTAAAAATGAATGACTGATCCTGAAATCCTGTTTTCCAGGAACACTCAAAATCAGGCAGCTCTTATAATACAGGTTGTTAGCTAGAAGACTAACGGCCATTTTTTTAAACACTCGGGGCAGCAAGCCCGAATGTCGGGTTACTGTTTGGTAACCCGTCAAATGGATTCGCCAAGCTCGAATATCAATCCTGAACATCGGGTTACTATTTAGTAACTCGAACGTCGCAACTCGAGAGGGTTGGAACGCCTTATCCAATATAAATATAAACAAACCAGGTCGATCTACACGCCAAAATTGAAGCAGAAACATGAGTTGTGGAGATAAAAGTTAGTCTTCAAGGGAGAAGGCAGCCATCATCACCAATTATGCCAGAGTCTGCACCAGCAGGAACACTTAGATCAACTGATCCAACATCAGGATCACCCGTGCCACCAACAGCAGCATCAACATCCAGTCACAGGGAGAAGATAAGGAAGCAGGTGAACAAGAGGAATGAATGCTTCATTGCCATTATTAAGGACAGTACACAAGAATGGAGTGGTGCTATATTGGAGGCTTTAAAGGCCTTCACTAGTTTGTACAATACATTATCAGCCCAATCTGTGCGTAATGTATTTAGAGCAAGCATTAGAGTTGTTGCCCAATGGCATATATCAAGAGTGCAGCCATAATTCCACCTCTGGCTGTGGGCAATCTAGTAAACTCATGGAGATTTTGCCATCAGTGTCATAATTGATAGTGTATAAACTGTGATTTTCTTCTATCTCTCTCTGTTTACTATTTTTTCTTAGGCACTTAATGGAGAATGTGAAATATTTTTTGTTCCAACATTTATGTTATTTTTTTTTTGTTCCTTTGTGAAAACAGATGCAGGGGTATATTCTTTCAACTTAATTTGTGATATAATTTCAGATACAATAAACAGTACAGTACTGTGTATTGAACACTCATACTTATTGGAGAAATTTAATTGTCTTTTTTATCTCTGTTTACTGTTTTTTTTTTGGCACTTAATGGAGATGTGAACTCTTATTTTGTACGATCAAACATTTGTTATGATATTTTGTTCGTTTACTTCTTGTGAAACTAAAATAGATTCAACATATTTTTTGCTAGAATTTCCTAAACAATATATACTGTACTGTGATACTGTGTATTATAAATCCATACTTATTCTGGAATTTTAATAATTTTTATATTTTGCATTTCTTTTGTACTTTAATTACAATTTCAATACAGGTACAGTACAGTACAGTACAGTACTTCTAAAATCTTTCAAGAATGATAATTGCTATAACCGTATTTGCAATTTTAAACTAAGTATGATTACTATTAATTTATAAAGAAGACTGTACAGGTACTGTGATAAATTTGTTTTTACTGCTTGTTCTTATTCAGAGGAACTAAAATTGTTTATGGATTTCTCTGACACTTGCAAACTATTTCAGTACAGTATAGTACTTTGAAGCCTTTAAAAATATGTACATTTATTATTTCAAGCAACATACTAAACTGTTTGAATGATATAATTTTACATATACCCCGTACTCTTTTGTACTGTACTGTGATATACTCTTCTTTAGTCATGCCAGTGTAATCCCTTTTTAATTTTGTTTGAATTGAAATACTGTTTCAAGTTGTACTGTGATAGTGTTTGGAGCAAATAAAATGTGTTATTTAAAGACAAAAAAATTATTGGAAATTACCTTGATAATAAAATCTATTACTAAAAAAAATATTTTCTCAAACCAATAATGCTTCCATTCACCCTTACACTTGTTCTACTTTCAAACAAACTACATTATACAAATCAAAACGATGTATCAATTACACCCCTTTCTACAACGATGTGGTTCAGCTGTGAGAATATATCCAATCAATGCAGCCAAATATACAATAGCAATTTTTCATTTTGCCTGATTCTGGAAAGTGGATGTAATCTTTTGCCGTAAGGGTCAAAATAGTTGCATAGCTTTTGACAAACTTGCAAACTGATGACACAGAAATCTTCAAGCAGTCTGCCATACTAATTTGGAAGCTGCCACTGCTAAAGTATCTCAATGCAGTTAGGAGTTGCAGGTGTGTGTGGAATACTGCATCCTGTAGGATATACAGTATATATTTCTCTTATTTACTGTTTTGTCTAACATTGCATATCTTGATTATAGTAAACAACATGGCTCCTATGATGATATATATTATTGTGTTACATTTTAAGTTCTTCAGAGGATCACCCTCTGTAAAGTGCAACAACATACAGGTGATATCCCCATTAGCTGGAATAATTGGTGCAGAGCTCTTCCAGGGATGAGAGACTTCCAGATAACAAGAAGACTCTCAAACCATGAAAAATCCCACATCCCTAGAATTTTTCTGGTTCCATGTAAAAGTTCCGAGTTTAAACATTCTTTCACCCTCGGAGACCCGGGAAAAAACTCTTGAGAGTTTCAGGAAGTTTTCATAAAAATGTCCAGAAAATGTGCCTGATATTTAACCTCTTAATTTGCTCAAGGCCTGGAATCAAATTTAAGACTTTTCGAAATTAAAAAAAAAGAAAAAAAAAAAGAAAAGATTTTCAACCTTGAAAACTCGTTCACAGACACGGAATGTTGACAATTTTCTTGGAAAAACTCCGAGCCAATTTCAATTCTGAGTACATATTAATGAATTCTGGGTAATGAAGATATTACTGTACTGTCCTGTAATTATGGGAGGTGGGTTTAGGGGTTTTCATGGGTGCCAAGTACTGCATAGTGGTTATGTCCCCCCCCCCCCCTTCCCTTTTTTGCATCACTGCATAACATTGAATAAATACCCAATACACTTCTAAACAAATACCCAAATCCAAGATTTAGAGTTTCGGTCTACAAAGATACATTTAATCGAACCTAAGTAGTAGGCAGCTACCAAACAGGGAGGTACTACCACCTGGGAAGATATTGGAAGCAGAATGTACTGTATTGTCTAATGGTAGACCCTGCTGCCATATGGCATCACGAAAATTGTCACCTAGTCCCAGGTTGCTGATCTGTCTTTCTGCCTCATTTACACACAATTGCAGGGTCTCAATTGTTTCTCTTACTATTGACAACACAACATACATATTATCGTTTCTCACTATTGATTTATTTTTTCATTTTTGTATTTATTTATTATTATTATTATACTTTTTATTTATTTTATTAATTTATTATTATTATTATTATTATATTTTCGCCCTCCAGGCCCTGATGTGGGTCAGTGACTTGTGCCCGGGTGGGTTAATCACCTTAAAAAAAAAAAAAAAACCCTCACCTAACCTGACCTAAGCTAACTTAAGGAATCTTAAACCAAGTAAACAATGTGTATTTGTTCGAAACAAGGCTAACAAAGTACTTGGGTTAATACAAAGGAGTGTTGGTTATAAAATTAGCGAGGTCATCCAAAAACTATCTTACGCTTGTGAGACCTCACTTGGATAACGCAGTTCAATTCTGGTCACCGTACCACAGAATGGATACAGAATCCCTAGAAAGAATTCAGAGGAGAATGACAAGACTAATCCCGGACATTAGGAACCTTGAGTACAGAGACAGGTTAAAGCATCTTAATTTGCACTCCCTCGAGAGACGTAGAGTCAGGGGCGATATGATAGAGGTGTATAAATGGAAGTCAGGGCTAAACAAAGGTTACATTACAAAAGTACTCAAACTATCCAACCAGGAGCGAACTCGTAACAGTTGTTTTGAATTAGACAAATTTAGATTTAGGTGCGAAATAGGTCAACATTGGTTTGGTAATAGAGTGGAACAAGTTACCAAACATCATCATTAACTCGAATACGCTGGATAGCTTCAAACATAGGTTGGGTGGATATGTGAGCGATAGGGGCTGGGTGTAAATGGGACTGCCCAGTTTGGGCCAATAGGCCCGCTGCAGTTTCCTCCATTCTTATGTTCTTAACACAATTATCTTGAAGACAGCACCCTATTGTAACACCAGAATTTCTTGCCTCATCCTTCTTGAACTCTTGGCATGTGGTTCAACTCGTTCATGGATGCATTCCTTTGACAGCCTATACCACTTGATGAACTCCTCCTCAGAGAGATAAGCAAAAGGATTTTGATGGTCTCTAATAACAATACCAGTATGCTACAATGCCAGCCTGAAAAAAATAAAACAAAATCTAATATCTATTATCTATACAGTCTCTCCTTGACTTAAGACGGGGTTCCGTCCCGACCACCAGGCCGTAAGTCGAAAAGGCGAAAATAATACATAGAAATTCTAAAATAGGTGTCTCTTCTTCTTCTCAGCACCACGAGAACTCTCACTTTTGTGCTTGCCAGCCATTTTAAAGTGAATTACAAACAAAAATTCTGTCGGTACACAGAGGGATCACCAACATCGGGACTTGAAAATATGTAATGTGAAAAATATTTTATACAACCATGGCCGTCGTAAGTCGTGGAGAGACTGTATATTGCGGTAACTACTGTATATAAGATAAATTACTTTTGATAATAGTTTACAAGCTTGTTGCTTAGCTATTACAGATAATTTCTTTAAGAAATTTGTCCATATTATACAGTATTTAAATTTTGTTTATTGTTGTTCCAGTGATGTAAGATAGGACTGACACGATTTAAATCGAGTGATTGAAAACACCATTAATCAATTTTGGCACCTTTTTCTAACCCCGAGTTCGAACTTTTCGTCTAAAAAATATTTTACGTAACCTAATCTAAACTTACAAATATTGGTAGTACCCAAACACAACCGGAACAACAACCCAAACAGTGAAATATAGCAGGAAAATTTTTTTCCATGGTAATTATCAGCGTGGAT